TATCTTCAACTTTTAATGTGTGTAGTTAATCGAGAAGTGTTACGTCTAACAATGGCGGAATATTCATATCGTGAGCAGGCAGATAATAAATGTATAATCCCCACCATTCGATCGTATTCGGGATTATCGAGCCAATGCGAACGATCCTTTCTTTAACTGCATACTATGTACTACGTTAGGGTTACATAAGTTTTGAATTCAGAATTACAGCCTCCTAGACCGTTTACCACCCAAGGCTATAGAACCCAGTCTGTACTGCTATTTACCCATAGCTTTGGGTGATAGGAATCATACTTTTCCCAAGCTTATATTCACGTAAGTGAATGCAATGGATGCGACTCGAATTCGAACCCAGTTCCCCGATTCCTCAATCTGAGTCGCTATCCATTACTCATCTGTGCCACCAAATATATAATAAATGACTCACAGCCATCTACTTTCCTGGCTGCTGGATGTCTTCATCAGATTTTCCTGCTTTTAAGAATTATGCTGAGCCGTCCAATCCCTTCCAACTATCGGCCTATTAGCATCCAACTTCTTTCTGGTAAACCCCTAGAGGTCCTAATCAGTACTGAATTGATTCATCATCTTTCATCACAGGGCCTTTTCTCAGACAAGCAATATGGCTTTAGTTTCTCCAGGTCAACTACTGATGTACTGACGATATTTGAAGAAAGAATTTGTCATGCTCTAAAATACAAACGGTGAAGCCTTGGCTGTTGCTTTGAGATCTCCAAAGCCTTTGGCCTAGTATTCAGGTCTTCTCCACAAGCTGAAAAGTTACGGTGTCTAGGGACCCTTTTTCCTATCATATTGTGAAATGAGAGTTATCCTGAACGGCTATTCGTCTAGATCCTTTCGTACTAACGCAGATATCCTCCAGAGCTATATCCTAGTTACTACTCTATTTTAATTTTCATTAATGGCCTTCTTGGTGAGATCAGCTCTTAATTTGGTATCTACGCCGACGACACAACGATTAACTCCTGCGTCAACAGCTATTGATTCTGACAACGTCAAAATGGCAGCCAATGTACAAAACGAGCTCAAGTCTGTAGTTAACTGGCTCAAATGATAGCGTGTTAATTTTAAAGCTTTCAAAAATAAACTTCTCTCCATTAATCATCTGAGAGATCCCTTGCTGTCTTCCATCAGTTGATGCTATCCTCCAAGAAATTGACTAATTGCGACTTCTCTGGCTTATGTTCTCTGCTGATATGAAAAGGAAAGGCTATATAGAAACGATTTGTATGTCAGCTGATCACTACGTCGGGTGAGACAAATTTCCTCTCCAGAATCTATATTACATGTGCATAAATCTACCATTTGTCCAGGGTTAGAATATTGCTGCCACATATGGACCGGTACCCATGCTATTTACTTTAACCTCCTCGATAACATCGAAAGACGAATCTGCAATATTATTGGCCCTGATCTGGCGGATCAGTTTCAGTCACTTTCCCATCGCCGCACGATTACCCCTTTATCTTTGCTATAAATACTTTCATGGTAATTGTTCGAATGCGCTCTTCGCTATGGATAGAGTTTTTGAATTTAAGTGCAACACTAGACTGGGGTTGAGATCTCCCCTATTTACAGTTGAGCTGGCATGATGTAACTGTAAATTCTTTGATAAAAGTTTCTTCTCCCGCACTTCTTGCTTGTGGAAGGCCCTTCAAGCTCCTTGCTCCTTCTGCAAAAATATAAATACAATGTCAATCGCTATCTATTGTTTACCTGATTACTACCTTCTCTTTCTGTTTATCATTAATATTTCTCTCCTAATTCTTCCACACCCTGTAAGTCATTGTGTTAAGTGACATTACTTCTTTGGTTCGGGTGATTCCGATTAAAAAAAAAAATAAAGATATATTTTTTACATACAGCCGCGTGAATGGTAATGGACGCGACGCTACACAGCTGTTTCAGATTGCGTTTCCTGAAAGAAGGTTGCAGATTCATTGAGTCTTTACTGCTATTTCCTCACTTTTCTGAGACAGGATCCGTGGTACCACAAAATATAGCAATAAGTATTTGGGGATTTTAACTTCGATTGTACATTTAACAGCAGTTGCTGTAAACGTTAAACTTAATAAATAAAAAAAACGAAGGATGTGCGGATATATGTTTATATGGATGTTTGTCCTTGTTTAGTGTAAGGAACGCGCCCCAAAAGATTGTGAAAGTAACAGTTTAATGTAAGTAGCACTGAAAAGGCCTATGTGCGTTCAAAGAAAGTATCCCGCCGCCGACCCTAGGATATTTGAAAGGAAATACAAATAAGTTATGTTGACCAAAATCGTAAAGCGACTTATTGGCGTAATTGGCTTGATGTTCTGCTGACTGATGCCTCTCCGATGTCTGGTCCCAGTGGGCATCGTCCCACAGTAGCCCATGTCTGGGGCAGGGCTCACTGTAGATCGTACAGACTTCTCCATTATATCTTTGCAGGGCTGTGAATGATGTAGGACATCTCACATTGTGCAGCAGAAGACGCAGAAAGAATCACTCCTGTTGATTCGGGGGCGCATGTACACTCGCATCTTGGTCCCGCTTCTGAAGACATCATTTTCTTCCCAGCCCTCAACTTGTGCTCCTTGCTTGCGCCTGATGCATCTATTGTGTGCCCAGGCTTAGAAGACGGGAACCTCAAAATACGGCAGTGTTCGGGCAAACAGGTCACTTCGGCATAATTTGAAGAAAGTTGCCAGAATGATTTCTGGTGTCTTCTGCGAAATATACACGCTGGCAATTTTCAAAATGAACAGCTAGATACACCCCTGTTGGATGCCACGCCAGAAGTAATATATCTGCCCAATTGATAGATTATATATACAGATTTCAATATCAAATGGAATAATAAAAAAAAAAAAAACTTTTTTTTATCAAAATTTGATTTCAGTTTCGCTTTTCGGCGCGATTCGAATTGATATCATCTAATTTATGAATCTCCACTAATTCGCCGAACAAGACCATACCATGATGTAAAAAGGCCCTAAACTTGATGATTTTTTTGGTTAAAATGTTTAAGTTATTATTAAGAGAAAAAGCGAAAGTATTTTTTTTTATTTTTTATTCATTTTTCATCTTTTGATTAAAAATCTTGTTTTCTTTTGGGGTTTTTTGGCGTCAGCGAAATGCCATTAAAAGTTATGTCTCAACTGCGGTGATTTGTTTTGGATGTGTTAACTGACAGTTAAATCGATGTATTGACGGGTTAGGTCAGGGGAAGTTATCAGACGGAAGAACAGAAGTGGTATAATTTTTTTGAATATTAATTGAACTAATTTAACTACACGGTATTTTAAAATTACAATTACCAGCAATATAATATTTTGTTGATTTTTTTAAGGAACTTTTCCTTCAAAGCCTTACGTTTGAAGATGATTAATGGAAAAATACAATTTACAAAAGTTCATAACTGGAAGTGGGAGAAAAATTCATAAGAGTGGTATGTAACTTTACGTACAATATACTTATTATAAAACCCAGGTTGTGTGTGTGTGTGTGTGTGTGTGTGTGTATGTATGTTTATATATTGGATCGGATTTCCTAGATTTTTTAGCCGATTTCAACAAAACTTCACAGGACTACATAAAATTACCTAGTGGTAGTTCTAACGGCGCCGAAAATTGGAAAAACACAATTGTTTTTGCACGAAATCAATTTGAAAACACGATTAAGAGGCATCGCGAGATTGAAAGGGGGACAACTCATATCGAGTTATACTTATTATAAAACCCAGGTTGTTTGTTTGTGTGTGTTCGTTTATATATGGGATCGGATTTCCTACAATTTTCAACCAAATTCAACAAAACTTCACATTTTTTTGGCAGGTAGTGTTGTCTTGCACACTTTTTTCTTTATTTTTACATTCAGAATGCTTTAAAAATTCCATTTACAAGACAATTGTTTATAATAAAATTCTATTCAATCGGTAGACTCATAACGATTGGAAATTATGTTTTTGTTTGGGTTCGACCAATTCGGAAAAAAAAAAAAAAACAAAACAAATAAAAAAAATAAAACTAATTAAGACATGCATGTCCGTCAACCTTAAACAATAATCGTTGTCAATTTTATTTTTCAGTCTTTATGATGGTCGATACATGATCTATCTCTTACTGTTACATCCCCGGGCAACGCCGGGCTCTACTGCTAGTATCTTATAAAATTTTATATTATTTTTATTTATTATTTATTTTTATGTCACAGTTATGGAAAAAATTCACAACTGATATAATATAAAAATTAATAATTTAAAATAATACATACAATTTCATAAATATGGTCACTTACGATCATCCATATATTTGGAAAAAAATGTTTTTATGCAAACTGAAAAACAGTGTAAATTATTTTTTAAAAATACATGACAGATTGTAATAATTTTTCAAATTTATGTTCTACGTAATAAGAGCATTCCATAAAGGATACAGATTGAAACTTAAATTTTATTATATTTACCAAATTTATCAGATTTTTTATTCAAAACTGAAAAAAAAGAAAACAATTCTTACAAAAATTCATTTTTCATCGAAAAATATTTCGACTTCAGACAATATTTTTCTTAATATATATTATTCATAAAGGCAATTAAAAGCTTTTCTAATTAAATAATATCTTAGTTTTATTGGGTTTTGTATGTTACAATTAAGAGCTGATTTTCGGTAACCGCTTGATTTGAATTTAGACAAAATCTATGATTTTATATTCTTCAAAGATTTCTGATTTTAACTAATATAATTAATAAAACACATGGCATCGAATTTCACAAAATTAAGTAAAGAAGTGGGAGTAACAGATATAAAAAAAATATTTTACCATGATTTTCTAAAAAGAAATGTCTGAAATAATTTCATTCATTTGTGAATAATTTGTGAAAGTTTTATAAAATTTGTGTTCTAGTAGAACACACCTATTCTATAGTGAATAGACTCTCCCACCTATAATAAGTAGGAGTAGTAGGGGTCGCTCAGTGGGTCGGTCAGTCGATCCGCTTACGGTCAAATCACGCTGAAAACACCGGTTCTCGTTCGATCACCGAGTTAAGCATCGTAGAGCCAGGTCAGTACTTAGATGGGGGACCGATTGGGAACACCTGGTACTGTAAGCAGACGCGGATTAAAGATCCGCATTCTTCCGTTTGGTTCGGTCAGTCAGTCGACTGGCTGATCAGTTGAACTCTGTGCCTTCGGGCGGAAGGAACCCGAAAGAGGCTACGCCGAAGGGCGGATTCTCTTTCGGGGAGGTAAACCGACCCTGAACCCGTTTAATGGGCATATTTTTGGCCGAGCCCATGGGCTCGGAGATCCCACTTTAAAAAGGCCTTCTGCCACATGACGCTCTCGTGGGTGGGGGCGGTGATTTAATATCGTCGGTCAGTCGATGCCGGACGACCGTTAGTCAGATACTAAAGTATCAGCGACCACAACTAGATTTCTCTGCGTCATTACCTATTATATCAAGTTCCTAACGTTTTCTACGTCGAACCTATTTTAGGACCGACTTAGTACAAATACAAGCCTCCACTGTGAAACCACTCTATAACAATTTGACAATTATTAGATTTTTGCAAGTATTTCCAAATCCTTGTGTTTTTCACCTAAAAAATGGCGCTGATAGTAAATATAACGTAGAACGCTGATGTAAAAAAAAAACAAGATTTTTAAACAAATTTTCTAACATGTTAGAAAATATTAAAAAATTAATAAAATGACCAAAACATATAGTTTTTCCTTTAAGACATCTAAAACCACAGACAACTAAAACCAAGATATGCCTTTTTAAGGATAGGTTGAAATATGACCTTAGGTAAATCTCAATTTTAAGGTTATTTCCCATTTAAATGACTCAATTTATCAAGCCAATTTCGTTGTATTTAACAAATTCGAACCAGGCGAATTTATTGAAGCACAGGGCGAAATTTGAAACGAATTAGATTTTTGCAATGTAAACGAAATTAATATTTTTGCAATGTAAACACACCAAGGAGATCGTATTCAATGAAATATTAAGGCTGAATTAATGTGATAATAAAGATTTAATTTAGAAAATAAACTGCGATTAGCTCAGACATTGTCCACTAAAATTTTAAAAATCGAACAAAGATTCATATCTGTTTGGAATTTTATGCCTCATAAGGGTTAGAATTTCGTAACTGGTGTATCTTAAGGTCTAAAGTGTTTGCGAAACCAATTATCTCACTTTTTTAACACAGTTATGTTTCGCATATGACACAAGTGAGCTACGATTTAGGGGCCCTAGTGGTCACATTATAAAAAAAAATTAACCTTCTAACAAGTTATTACTTTAACACGTATGCAAAGTTTCATTAATATCCAATTACTGCTTTAGTCGGGAACTTGATTCAGACAAACAGAAATTGTGATTAATATATAGAGTAAATTAAGTAACTTAGCAATCATACATAATTTACCTAAATTTTTCTGTAAATCTGATAAATATTTATGAGCGTCTCTTAGATTTAAAAATTTTGAAAAACTAACAACAAGTTTACATTTGTTTATAAAAATCTTTGCAAAATAAAATGCTTACATTTACTTGTCTTTCCTTTAGGGATAATGTAGTCTTCTTTATTTAAATCTATATTTTTCTCTGCGTTTAATTCTTTACACACACACACACACACACACACATATATATATATATTTAGAATAACAGTATGACATATTGTAAAAAATCTCAAAGACCATTCCGATAAAATTCTAACGAATGAGACGCGTCACAAAAACTTTTTTACAATATATCATACTGTTATTCCAAATATATATATATATATATATATATATATATATATATATATATGTGTGTGTGTGTGTGTGTGTGTGTGTGTAAAGAATTAAACGCAGAGAAAAAATAGATTTAAATAAAGAAGACTACATTATCCCTATAGGAAAGACTTTCGTTCAAAATTTAATCAAAAGTTTGGCGTTGGCGAATAGAACAAAATAATGTAGCTTCAACTGCAGAAATATCGAATGAGAAGGGAATACTCGAACACGATTTAATTGTAAACAAATTGACAATTAAAAACAAAAACTAAAAGGTTCCAAAACGTGTTTAAAATAGCTCATATATATATATATATATATATATATATATATATATATATATATATATATATAATTCTGAAATTACACAAAAATTGAAAATAATCCTATGCGACGGTTTTAGACCTTCCCAAGGACTTCTACAGGCATTCAGTTTTGGGGGCATTATGACATTACCTATCATGAGTCTAGATACGCATATATATATATATATATATATATATATATATATATATATATATATATATATATATAGAGAGAGAGAGAGAGAGAGAGACAGACAGACAGACAGAGAAAAGAGAGAGAGAGAGAGAGAGAGATGTATTTCTAACACGTTTGATAACGGCACGAGTTGATAAAATTTAAAATGCAGCCGGTCCATATATAAAATGGTCTGTCAGTATTTGACGGTTATTATGCACACACACACTTACACACACACAAACACACACACACACACACACACACACACATATATATATATATATATATATATATATATATATATATATATATATATATATATATATATCACTTGTCATAGAGAGTGAGTATCAAACAAATCGTCTCAATAGCAATCTATTATAATTGAACTCAATCCCTTTATACTCTTAGACTGAAACTATTCAATATTCGTCTATCTTTATATTAGTAATAATGAAAGTTATTTTCATCAAACAGACACTGAGACACTCGAACCAGCAGAGAAGCTTTGAAGATTGTCGGCATTCACGACATTTAAATATCAGCTTGAAGGGAAAGAGTTGAGAAACATTTAATCAGTGCGTTGAATAGGTAAGCAAGCTGAAAGACACAACTCAATATTGAGCTATAAAACAACCGACAATGATCAATAGATGCGATCAAATCGTAGAAGATTCTTCTTTTAATTGATCTTGGATAAGCAGACCAGAAAAAATGTGCTTTCTTACTATAAGAAACAACTTTAGGTTTCCTATTTAATTTCTGTGGCTTGCGGATTTGAGTTTATATCTCACCGTCTTATTATTTTCTCTTACCACGACTTTCTTTCTCCAATATATTTCTTCTTTCTCGTACGCATGCATACACTCAGACAGACTTATATATATATATATATATATATATATATATATATATATATATATATATATATATATGTGTGTGTGTGTGTGTGTGTGTGTGTGTGTGTGTACTTGAATCTCCCCGTTGAATTCGACGTATGAGGGTCAAACAAATCGGCTCCTAAGAAACCGACAGCCCAACAACAGCACATGAGATTTGATTATAGTGGTGAAGGTTTCGTGCAGGACCATCCACACTTTTTGAGAGGCCGAACAGAGAGACCTGGTGCACTACGTGCCACAGGGTCCACAAACGACCCTCCGCAGGTTTTGAATTCAGAGTTGTCCTTCTCCTAGACCAGTTATCATCCAAGGCTATAGGATCCAGCCTGTTCTGCTATTTACCCATAGCTGGAGGGAGAAAAAGAGGATTTACACCTTTCCCAAGGGTATTAGCACAAAAGTGAATGTAATGAATTCGACTGGATTTCGAATTCCTCAATCCAAGCTACTAACCCTTACGCCACCGTGCCTCCTCCATATATATATATATATATATATATATATATATATATATTCATGAATTATTCATACAAAAAACAAATACAAAGGTTAATGATTTAATTGGCGAGAAATCCATCGTCGCGAACAATTCAAATAATATACAAAAACCCCGAACCTGTTTATGCATGAAAAGATCCTTGTTTCTATAAATTTCTGTTGCATGAGTTCTTATTTTTACAAGCTTTCGTCTGTTCATACAGACATCCTCAGGTATGGAATAGATTTTGTTCTTGTTTTTTTCTCTCAGTAATAAGAGGACAACGAAAATATATGTACTGTTATAATCCGAAAAATGCTATTAGAAATTCATTAGAATAATTGATGAATTTGTAAAGTAATTGCACCTTTATTTAAATATATATATATATATATATATATATATATATATATATATATATATGTGTGTGTGTGTGTGTGTGTGTGTGTGTGTGTGTGTGTGTGTGTGTACAGTACTGATAGCAGATACGGAAAAGAAATTCCAAAATCTCCTACAGAAGATATCGACGGAGAGTGAGAAGATGGGACTAAGCAGAAGCTACTAGAAGACATAATGCATGGTCATTAGCAAAACGATGTGCCCGAAATGCGATGTGCAAATCGGGAACACTAGAATCAAGTAGACGCGGAAGTTTAAATATCTGGGAAACGTCTTGACAGAGGACGGTAAAAGCGACCCTTGGATCTTTTGACGTATTGATATAGCCAAGGACGCATTCCAAAAGCTGGGCAGAGTACTGCGATACAGGAGGATTCCTTTGGTAACAAAGAAAAGAATACTGGGCTGTTACGTGTCATGTGTCTTTCTTTACGGAAGCGAATGTTGAACGATTTTCTCAAAGATGAAAAAGAAACTCGTGGCGACGGAGATGTGCTTCTACACAAGGATGCTAAGGACAATATGGACCGAGCGTGTGAGTAACGATATGGTCTTAGAGAGGACGCAAACAAGGAAGAGGCTTATACTTAACATCAGGAAGAGGCAGCTGAAACGCATAAAGACGAAAGAGGGCCTGGAGAATCTGATACTCAAGGGTCAAATAGAAAGAAACAGGGAAACAAGGGAAAGCAGCACATGGCATACCTGGCGGGTTGAAGCAAGTGGGTGAGAGAACGTGGTCTGGGGGATGAAGCAGAGGGAAGGAACTTGTTGAGAGCTGCATGGAATAGAAGGTTATGGAGAGCCATGATCGCCTACGTCATGAAAGGACATGACACATAAAAAAGAAGCCAAAGAATAAATGCGAAAGTTAAGCCCGTCTGCTTGCGTTTATATTTCACTCCCTCTCTCTCTCTCCATCTTTCTCTCTCTCTCTCCTAGAAACAGAATCACATACACGCACGTAGATGAGTAGGTTCTGAAAACGTATCCGTCCAGTATAACTCATCAATGCAGTATTCAAATGATTGGTCATTAAAATACTAAAATTTGAATAATTAAATTAACCGCAATTAGTTGTTGTTTTTTTAAAGAAACTTGTATAAAAGAGGGATCTCTACCCAAATATTAAATTATATATATATATATGATCAAGATCTAGACGGTATTAAAATTCTCTCTATCCATCTCCATCTCTATCTCTCTCTATAAATATATATATATATATATATATATATATATATACATTGATTACACAACCACATGCTTAGCCAGACGTCTTACGTTACACCTATCTGATCACAGCTCCATTAGAACCCATGTAAACACATACATATTTATCAGACTCCATTACGAACATACTAGTAGAAAACACAAATATTTAACTGCATCTACCTGCAAAAAAAGACTAAAAATAATGGAAGCTTTAATAATAAAAAAGAAAAAGCCAACTCTTAACAATATTAACTACGAACAAAGCCACAATGTGCTAACCGTATTCGGAAATTAAAAACATCCCTACCACACACTAAGACATACACAGAACGCACACACTCAATTAAGCTGAAAAATTGAATCATCCTTGATAATCTCTAAATGTAATAGCCGAAAGCGCTCGGAAATATAAAACATTTGGACAGTTCTTACACACCCTTTGTCCATAAAAGAAAGCTCTTGTTAGAACACAAGAAAAATTAAATAAAATGCTTCACCGTAGCACTTTGTCTGTCGTTTTTAATGAAACATGGATAAAGGAAGGATTTCTACCTAAATATTCAAACATATATATATATATATATATATATATATATATATATATATACAATAAACGTGCAATCAATTTACAAATACATGAATTATTCACACAAAACTAATGCAAAGGTTAATGATTTTAAATGGCGAGACATCCATCTCGCAAACAATTCAAATATTACACAAAAACCTTAGATCCGTTATGAATGAATTGATCCTTGTTCATATAAATTCTGCCGTAAAATAATTTGTTCATTACCATATTTGGTACAAACGCAAACATTTTAAAAAAAGAAATTCAAAAATCAAACTCAGCGTTGCTTTGGCGCGTTCAAAAACCAATATCTCATTTTCAATAGCATTTCGGATACAATACACATATTTTTTCGATGTCCTCTTATTACTAAGAGAAAAAAACAAGAACAACATCTATTATATACCTGAAGATGTCTGTATGAACAGACGAAAGCTTGTGTAAAAATAACAACTAATACGGCAGAAATTTATATGAACAAGGATCAATTCATTCATAACGGATCTAAAGGTTTTTGTGTAATATTTGAATTGTTTGCCAGATGGATGTCTCGCCATTTAAAAAATCATTAACCTTTGCATTAGTTTTGTGTGAATAATTATGTATATATATATATATATATATATATATATATATATATAATTTTATTACTGTCTACAAATGCGTATATATGGTAATATATGTATATATGTGTAATATATGTGTATATATGTAGAAATCTAAATTATATATGAATTTATTACTGTCTAAAACCTGAATATATATATATATATATATATATATATATATATATATATATATATATATATATATATATATATATATATATATATATGGTAATAGTAGACGTTTCTAAACAGTTTTATATATATATATATATATATATATATATATATATATATATATATATATATATATATATATGCCTCTGTTTTCCCATCACGTGCAAACGAGAAACACATTGACCTAATTTATGACAGGAAGACTCACACGATTTCCAGTTCTGGTACAAACTATATGTGGTGAACGTCTGAGGCATTTCAAGGTTACCAGAATTAATCAAAGGCACAGCATGTCATTTCAAGTCAAATGGATTGAAACATTTAGTTTGCCAAGAAGTATTAAATATTTTTGGATTACAAAAAACAGCAGGAGTGATGAATTTAAATTTGATCTCCGAGTTCAACGAAGATAGAATTATTTTCTGAACTTTATGATCTCTGTTATAATATTGTAATTTATTGTATCGCCACAACGTCAAAATAGCGTTTTTATGTTGTTTCCTAATAATTCTTTATTATTTATTAGCATTGTCGTAGTAATCTTCATATGTGGCGCCTGATTCCATCATAGGTTGCATGTGTGTCGTACAGTATTGGCCTCCTTATATTCGGTCTATTCTGCAACCCGGTGATTGTAGTAATTCTTCAGGTAATTCTAATATTTCGTCTTTGAAGTTTAGTTTCCATTTTACTGCTGTCTTCTTTTTTTCAGATGTTTTGTGGTCTTCTTCGCCGTATGTTATTAATTTTGATTGCTTAGGTCTATTTAATGTTCCTGTTGGTTTTTATCATCGTGGGTTATGTGTTGAAAATGTATTTGTCGATATGTCTACGCCAAATAGTTAACCACATGAGTGGGTTTAGTCCTATTTTCCCCCACTTTTGCAGTTGCGGCATTTTCCTCTTATTTTGTTATCTTTTAATTCTTTGGGAGTGTGTATGATGTGTGTATGTTGGATGGAGCACTATTTGGAGGATATGAAATAACAAATTTACGTAACGAACATTTGTGGGCAGATCGGAATTCCCATCGTACAACACAGGCTAGACACGAGCATCAGTTTACGACGACACGAGCATCAGTTTACGACAAATGTATGGACTGGAAATATTGGTGACTGTCAGGTAGGTCCATATGTTCTCCCAGCACGTCTTACAGGAGCTGCCTGGAGGGACTTTATTTCAAACACACTTACAGACCTGATAGAGCATGCGTCTCTGCTAATACGAAGACGCATGTAGTTCATGCATAATGGGGTTCCATCACAATTTATTCACATAGTTCGCTATGCACATCTACCACAAAAGATGCATAGGTAGGGGAGGGCTAGTTCCATGGCCTGAATGTTCTCACGACCTCAGTCCTTTGGAGTTTTTTTTTATCTATAGGGCCACCTAAAACATTTGGTTTATGCAGAAGACATTAATAATGCAGAGTCGTTTCATAAACCTGCCATGGTGGCC